TTTTATAATTGCTTCACAGATAGTTACACTACTGTCAGTTTTGCTGAATACTCTGAAATAAATTCATACTTGATCCAAGGTGTAAGGAATAACCATAAGGAATAAGCTGTGACAAAGTAGACATTGAACTGGTTTTAAGTGGAGAACAATTTTGGTGGAGCACAATGCCCAATAACAATAGCATCTTGAAGGTACAATTAAATAAGGAAAAGCATAGCCTGTTGCAACCAGTTCTGTTTTTGCTTTTTAAAGTTCTCATTAGGGCTGTGCACTGGATTTGGCTGAGGCCTGAGCCAAACTATTCTTATTTGAAGAGACTTGGGCATTGGATGAGTCGTGTTCAGACAGGCACAGATCATTACAGGCTGGGTTGGATTGCTCAGGGGGTGGGGCATCAGGCAGGAAAAAGAGGCAGGCAAAATGGGAAAACCCAATTAAGGAGCTGAAACTTACCTGTGATCGCTGGCTGCATCTTTCAGAGAAAGGTATGCCCACCTTTCTGCCTAAATGACAGCCTCCTTCCTGCCTGATACCTTCCTCCCCTTGCTGTCTCTGCACAACAGCAATTGGGAGGAGGGAGCAATCCTTCACTGTGTGGCTAATGTGATGCTCTGCAAACAGCTTTAATTCCAGGAGGGGTGATGACGGATATTCCTGCTCTTGGTTGGGGTGTGTGTGAAGGACAAGCAAAGTCTCCTTCTCTCACCTCTCTAATTATTTGTTACTGGCCACCAAAGCCCCCTAATCTTCTGATTTGAACAAAAAACAAGAACCAGTAAGCTATGGAGTAGTTGTTTGCTCTGGAGCTGTCTCTTTTGTGGGGTGTTGTTAACCTGCTTTTTGTCTGTCATTTTGTTTGTGGTGTGCATGAGAAGATTCTTGTCTGTTTTTGTAGGGAGGGGGCTGAGTTTTTCTAGGAAATCAGTGTTTTGTGGCTGAAAACTTTCATAGATACCCAAAAGTGCTGCCAAGCTCCAAAAGGTTACAGGCCCCTGCCAAATATTGGAACTGGATAATGTTGATAGTCTGGATTTATCAAGTGACTGATCTTAGAAGTTCTGGCTAGCAGGACAGATTAACTGTATCAGCAACTCTGTGCAATCCCTCCATTGTTGATACCTGCTATAAGGGCAACATCGCTAAGAACATTTGCTTGGGAAAGAAAAAGAAGATTATTATTTTTAACAACCATGGTGGAATCTAACTGGTATGGAAGGTTATCAAAATTCATAAGATGTAGAACATGACACATTCACAATAAATTATAATGAACCAAGATAGTATGTTATGTATGTTTATTGGTTCCAGGCAGAATAGAAGCATGCATTTATGGCTGGATTGTGAACTAATATGACCCCCCTGAGCCTTAGAACTAAGAACAATGAACTTTCATAACTACAGGGTTTCCTTAGAAATAATTTAAGGAGTCCCACATGAGACATATTTTTGATTTTTTTTAAAAATCCCAACACTTTACAGATAAGATTTTGTTCACAAGAACAGCTGACGACCGCTGTGTAAAGCTCAAGTATATTAAAATAAGCGTATGCCTCACAGACAATATCTCAGCCTTGTGTTAAGTCAATTGGAATAACTACATTCACTGCTTATGTACTCCCAGTCACTGATTGGGACACACACACAGGCGTGTGCACACACACCCTTTCTCATAAGCATTCACCATGAAATAATGCACCCTTTTGCCTTGATTTAACCACCCCGTTTGCAAACATTGCAAAAATAATCAAAGTTCAAGCCATAATGCACCTTCATTAACTGATCTTGCATTTGTGCATCTACAGCTGATTCTTAAATGTTTACACTAGAAGTAAACCACACTGCTTATGCACCAACTACTGGTGCTGAAGAAACTGAAATCGACCAATTCTATGAAGACTTACAACACCTTATAGAAGTGACACCAAAGAAGGATGTTCTTCTCATTATAGGGGATTGGAATGCTAAAGTAGGGAGTCAAGAGATAAAAGGAACAACTGGCAAGTTTGGCCTTGGAGATCAAAACGAAGCAGGGCAAAGGCTAATAGAGTTCTGTCAAGAGAACAAGCTGGTCATCACAAACACGCTTTTCCAACAACACAAGAGACGACTCTACACATGGACATCACCAGATGGGCAGCATCGAAATCAGATTGATTATATTCTCTGCAGCCAAAGATGGAGAAGCTCTATACAGTCAGCAAAAACAAGACCTGGAGCTGACTGTGGCTCAGATCATCAGCTTCTTATAGCAAAATTCAAGCTTAAACTGAAGAAAGTAGGAAAAACCACTGGGCCGGTAAGATACAATCTAAATCAAATCCCTTATGAATACACAGTGGAAGTGAGGAACAGGTTTAAGGATTTAGATTTGGTGGACAGAGTGCCTGAAGAACTATGGATGGAGTCTCGCAACATTATACAGGAGGCAGCAACGAAAACCATCCCAATGAAAAGGAAATGCAAGAAAGCAAAGTGGCTGTCCAATGAGGCCTTACAAATAGCGGGGGAGAGAAGGCAAGCAAAATGCGAGGGAGATAGTGAAAGATACAGGAAATTGAATGCAGATTTCCAAAGAATAGCAAGGAGAGACAAGAAGACCTTCTTAAACGAGCAATGCAAAGAAATAGAGGAAAGCAATAGAATGGGAAGAACCAGAGATCTGTTCAAGAAAATTGGAGATATGAAAGGAACATTTCGTACAAAGATTACCATAATAAAAGACAAAAGTGGAAAGGACCTAACAGAAGCAGAAGACATCAAGAAGAGGTGGCAAGAATACACAGAGGAATTATACCAGAAAGATATAGATGTCTCGTATACCCCAGGTAGTGTGGTTGCTGACCTTGAGCCAGATATCCTGGAGAGTGAAGTCAAATGGGCCTTAGAAAGCACTGCAAATAACAAGGCCAGTGGAAGTGATGGTATTTCAGCTGAACTATTTAAAATTTTAAAAGATGATGCTGTTAAGGTGCTACACTCAATATGCCAGCAAGTTTGGAAAACTCAGCAGTGGCCAGAAGATTGGAGAAGATCAGTCTACATCCCAATCCCAAAGAAGGGCAGTGCCAAAGAATGCTCCAACTACCACACAATTGCACTCATTTCACACACTAGCAAGGTTATGCTTAAAATTCTACAAGGAAGGCTCAAGCAGTATGTGGACCAAGTACTCCCAGAAGTGCAAGCTGGATTTAGAAGAGGCAGAGGAACCAGAGACCAAATTGCAAACATGCGCTGGATTATGGAGAAAGCTAGAGAGTTCCAGAAAGACATCTACTTCTGCTTCATTGACTATGCAAAAGCCTTTGACTGTGTCGACCACGGCAAACTATGGCAAGTTCTTAAAGAAATGGGAGTGCCTGATCACCTCATCCGTCTCCTGAGAAATCTCTATGTGGGACAAGAAGCTACAGTTAGAACTGGATATGGAACAACTGATTGGTTCAAAGTTGGGAAAGGAGTACGACAAGGCTGTATTTTGTCTCCCTGCTTATTTAACTTATATGCAGAATTCATCATGTGAAAGGCTGGGCTGGATGAATCCCTAGCCGGAATTAAGATTGCCGGAAGAAATATCAACAACCTCAGATATGCAGATGACACAACCTTGATGGCAGAAAGTGAGGAGGAATTAAACAACCTTTTAATGAGGGTGAAAGAGGAGAGCACAAAATATGGTCTGAAGCTCAACATCAAAAAAACGAAGATCATGGCCACTGGTCCCATCACCTCCTGGCAAATAGAAGGGGAAGAAATGGAGGCAGTGAGAGATTTTACTTTCTTGGGCTCCATGGTCACTGCAGATGGTGACAGCAGCCACGAAATTAAAGGACGCCTGCTTCTTGGGAGAAGGGCAATGACAGGCCTAGACAGCATCTTGAGAAGTAGAGACATCACCTTGCCAACAAAGGTTCGTATAGTTAAAGCTATGGTTTTCCCAGTAGTGATGTATGGAAGTGAGAGCTGGACCATAAAGAAGGCTGATCGCCGAAGAATTGATGCTTTTGAATTATGGTGCTGGAGGAGACTCTTGAGAGTCCCATGGACTGCAAGAAGATCAAACCTATCCATTCTTAAGGAAATCAGCCCTGAGTGCTCACTGGAAGGACAGATCGTGAAGCTGAGGCTCCAGTACTTTGGCCACCTCATGAGAAGAGAAGACTCCTGGAGAAGACCCTGATGTTGGGAAAGATGGAGGGCACAAGGAGAAGGGGGCGACAGAGGACGAGATGGCTGGATAGTGTTTTCGAGGTTACCAGCATGAGTTTGACCAAACTGCGGGAGGCAGTGGAGGACAGAGGTGCCTGGCGTTCTCTGGTCCATGGGGTCACGAAGAGTCGGACATGACTAAATGACTAAACAACAACAACAACAAAACCACACTGCATCCAATAGAACTGACTTCCTTGCAAGTCTCCTTTTCATGACTAAGAGTGCAAAGGATTCAATGCCCCGTGAAGGAAGGACACCTACAAAGCACCTGCAGTCTTAGAAATGCAATGATTTATGGACGGGCACTCAAAGAAACTTACAGTATACAAGCATCAGGACCCTGGACAGGGTCCTTTGCAAACTCTAGACAAGCTCAATAGCAAACAAGAAGCAATGCCAGATTTCTGAATTTATCTCCAGTCTTGTTAAAATTTTACAAATTGCCACAGTGTGAAACAGTTCAGATTGAGACTGTGAGGCATATAATGGAGTAGTTACCACTTTCCACTGTACTGTTTCCCTATATGTTAATTGTATGGATATATATATCAGCCCAAAAAGGGTTGGGTTAGGGTGCTGTTAAATTTTATTGCCAAAATGATTAACCCCTCACTCACTTGCCATATTCCTGATCCAAATTCCCACCATCATCTACGTGCTATTTTCAGAAGATTAAAGAGAGGGAGGAATCATTCACCTATTGTCATGATTATGACCTTAGGCTAACTCAGGGGTAAACTGAGTGTTTTTGCCTGGCTAGAATGTGTCAGTGGATAGCACGGTTGGTAGAGTTCAGCTGATAGAGCATAAGACTCTTAATCTCAGGGTCATGGATTTGAGCCCCATTGGGCAAATGCATTGAAGGGGATGGACTAGATGATCATTGTGGTCCCTTCCTACTATACAGTTCTATGATTATAAGTTTTGATAATTTCTCTTGACTGCAGGATGAAGGAGAGAAAGAGACAAGCAAATGCTTGTACTCACTAGCCTACTTTATCAAATGTAAAAATTACATTCATTGCTCCACCCTCTGCTGCCCTTGGCCCCACCCACCAATGGCACACAGCCTTTGGAAAGCTGATCATTAGGGAATGTGGCTCTTGTGGTGAAAAAGTTTTACCAGTCTTGCGCCAACCAATAAGGCCTAAACTATGGAGCAGATAGCCTTCAGTGGTGATTTGAAACTTACTGAGGGCCAAAATAAAAATACTAGGACCTGCTGTCCTTTCTTGTTTTCCAACCCTTCCTACTCACCACCTCCCAGCCCTTTGCTACCCACTTCCCCCCAACGTGGCCAGCCCCATCTCTTTACACCTCACCCAACCCCATACCCTCACAAAATGCCCCACCTCTCTCCTCACAGTTCACTCTGCTCCTCTACTTACAGCTTACTCCACAGCTCACCCAAACGCTAGCTCCCTTTCCAAAATGGATAGGAGGTGCTTCAGAGAGTGGTTTGCCAACACACCCCTCACCCTTCTTTAGACACTGCTGCAGTGATGTTTAGCAGAGGAGGAAGTAGTTCAGAGAGAGGTCTCAAAGTTAGTTCCAAATTTACAATAGATGCTGATGTCCATGCTTTTACAGGACAAGTCAAAAACAGAAAGGATGGGGGAGAAAGGTCACCCAGGTGGGTTTATGGGTGCCAAATCCCTGGCCCCAAATAAACCAGGTGTTGATCTGCCACAGGCACACACCTGATGGATCCCTTAGATCAGCCTTCACCAACTTGGTGCTCTCCAGATGTTTTGGACTGTAACTGCCAGTCTGGGGCCATTGTGAGGACAGAATGCTGGACTAGACAAGAACTTTGTTTGCAGGTAATAGGGTCTTCTTAGGTTGTCACGTACTTAAAATGTGACTGACCTTTGTCATTAAATTCCTTGTTCTAAATCTCTTTCCTTTTTCAAAACAATGGTTACATGCATGTGATTTACAATGCCTCTTTTGATTGCATTAAGAAAATGCCCACTTAAACAATTTAAGACCTCTGTGTTACATGTGGATTCTTGTATGAATTGTTACTACATCATTCAATTGCTCACACACTTTCTTATGAATGATTTCAGGGTTTGTCAATTAGTGCCATATTTATTTATGCTTCATCCTCAAAAATGCATAACAAAGAATAAATTACAGAGTAAACTGATGTTTTGTTTTGTGGTCCATAATATGTTAGTTTTCTGCAGTAAGCACCAAAGAAAAGGCATAATGGCCACAGAGTACAAAGCAGAGGGAGGGAGAACTATGAAGAAATCAATTGTATTTTAAGGCTCCAAATGGCCTTGCAGGGTGTAATTTTTTTGAGTTATCCCAAAGGGCAAATTACCTTCAAGGAGATTTACAAAAAAGGAGTGTGTCAGGCTTGCTTTGACCTTTTCTGACAGTATGAAAAGTTGCATCTAGTTGTTTTCTCTTTGCTTCCCTACACATATTTATTTATTTCTTATATCTTATTTGCCCTTCACTATAAAGGTCCCAGGGCAGCTTAGAACAATATAAAATGCACTTATAGAAACAAAGGATGCATTTAAAATTATTGTTATTAAAATATATTGGGGAAAATATACATTCCCCCTCTTTCCCCCAATTCAAAGGATGTAAACAACAACAATAAAGTTAATACAAGCACTGAAGTGAAGAGAACCTGAAAGTTACTAATATCAATACAAAGCATAATGTTAACACAACGCTATAAAGTGGTACCTCGGATTAAGTACTTAATTCGTTCCGGAGGTCCGTTCTTAACCTGAAACTGTTCTTAACCTGAAGCACCACTTTAGCTAATGGGGCGTCCTGCTGCCGCCGCGCTGCTGGAGCATGATTTCTGTTCTCATCCTGAAGCAAAGTTCTTAACCCGAGGTACTATCTCTGGGTTAGTGGAGTCTGTAACCTCAAGCGTATGTAACCTGAAGCATATGTAACCCCAGGTACCACTGTATTATGGAATGTAGAAGGTACAGTTTGTCCAGTAGTGTCTTGGTTTGTGTGCTGGCCGGCAAGCCACTATAAAAGTTTATTAAGTTTTATCACCTTCTAGTTTTTCAGAAAGTGTCATGCCCTGATCTTGTACATTTAGAACAGTTATAATTATAAACAAGTAGAACAATTAAAATTGTTCCAACTCAAACAGAAGAGCATATGCTTATCAAAAAAAAAATATTCATGAAGCAGATGTATGTAAATCTGTTTCTTGTTTGTGCCGTTCTTCAAACCCCAGCCCAAAAGTTCACCCATCCTGTTTCCACAGTAAAGTGTTAGAATTTTTCGTTTAAATATTCCATATAGAGGTGTATATTGAAATGAGTATTATAAATGCATTGTCTTTCAAAACATGCATTTTAATTATTTTTCAAGCCAAGAACTCAGGCCCAGTGTCGGTGTTCAGTCAGGTTGGGCAGTGGCCAATGGACCCAAGGGCTTTGATAGACCTCTTACTGACCTGACTTCTTACTAATTTCCTCCCTGCTAGGCCCCTAGGTGCTTTTGAGGGAGCCAAGCTCATCCCTCATCTACACTGAATGCCCACCATCTTAAGTTATGCAAAATATAATGTCTTGGCTGGTAGGTTTGTTGACATACATAGACAGCCCATGGATATTATCTGAGAGTTAGAACCCTCTAACTCTAGGACCCTTGTACCTACAGGACCGCCTCTCCTGGTATGCCCCACGGAAGTTCTAACGGTTTGCAAATAATAACATCTTGGAGATCCCGAGCCTCAGGGAGATTAGGCTTGCATCGCTTGGTGGAATGCTCTGCCACGAGAGATCAGGGCCCTGCAGGATTTGACATCTTTCTGCAGGGCCTGCAAGATGAAGTTGTTTCGCCAGGCCTTTGGTCAGGGCTCAGCCTGACTCTCCTCCTCTTTCTGTATAAGAACTAGTATGAAAGAGGCCTCTCAGCATTCTCACAGGCCCATATAAGAACAGAGTAAACAGTTGGGCCTGATGAGCATTTACTGTTCCCAACCCTAATTCTGTGGAAAGCCATCTAATTAGATTTTAATTTGATCCTTACTTGTTTTTAGGAGGTAATTTAATTATTGTTTGATTTTATACCAATGTATTTGATGTTAGCAGCCCTGAGCCCGGTTTCGGTCGGGGAGGGCGGGATACAAATAAAAGTTTTATTATTATTATTATTATTATTATTATTATTATTATTACCTCTTCCATGTTTGTGTGCACATGCACATGTATGCATGTATAGGGATACCAGCAGGTTGTGAATTATAATTCCAAGATAAAATGTTAATCAGAGGGGCCTCTAACTAAATCCCATAGCAGCACACTGAAATGATCCTAAATGGCTGGATCCTTGATGTCTTGCTTTCCAGTTAGGAACATGGAAGCTGTTTTGGATTGAGAAAGACCATTTATCCATCTAGCTAAGTGTCATCTGCAGTGACTTTCTGGGGTTTCAGATGGGGGACAGTCCCACCCCTACTTGGAGATGTTGGCAATCTACTGCATGCAAAGCAGATACTCTGCAACTAAGACCCTTCCCTCTGATGTCCATGTATCTCCCAAAATTAAAGCAAGGCTGGAAAATTATGAACCAGTTCTGAGTGTTGTGCTCACTGATTCAGTAATGGGCACAAGATTGTTGCCTGCAGATTTCTGAGTCCATTATTCCTTCTAGGATGTAATTCTCTCCCTCTGTCATTTTAGATATGGATCACACTCACTTGTTTCTTACATTCCTCATTCAGAAATGGAAACACTCTCAGCTACTCCAACTTTCTTCTAGCCCATTAGAAGATGAGAGGGAGAAGGAGAAAGCACTTCCAGAAAATCTCCCTTCTCAGAGCAGTTTCTATAGCTAGAATGGAGCATAACTGATTAGTAAGCAGACTGTCAGCTCCTGGATAATGGACCCTCTTTTTTACATTTGTAAGCTGCACATGCTAAACTCATTTTCCTAAAAAAAAATTCATTCTAACCACACAAACTTTGTAATCATTCGCAGGTTCATAGCTGACCATAATCTATGCAAATAGTTACCACAATTATGCTATAACATGACACCAACACATTCTGCCCCTGAAGGAGTAAAATGAAAATAAAAATGAAGACTACAGCTCCCATTGCCCCTATTTAAGACTCTCTGACTCATCAGGTATGCATGGATTTTGTCTGATTGGTTTCAGTGATAAGTAGTCCTGAAACTGATAATTTCACCTCTTAGCCATGGCTGAAACAAGTGAATTACCAAGAAGCATGCATAATTAGACCGTCTGTAGATGTGCTCAGGAGCCAGAGGTTAGCCATGCTTTGCTGGCTTCCAGATCATTACTAAAAGTCAGAGAGAGATGTCATTAGAATGAGCAATTTGATTCTTTCCCTAAGTAATGAGAAATCTGAGATGTAATGTAAAATACTCTGTTGGAACCCAATTTAAGCCAGTTAAGGGTGACTTCCTAGGATTTGAATTAGGAATGTGCAAAAACAACCCCAAGACATTTTTGCAAGCTTTGTGAAAGCTCTATTAAAGGATGCTTCTGAAATTCCCCTCATGGAATTTCCCCCAAGATTTTAGCATCTCCTTACTTTTTATATTACTGAGTTTTTGAAACAAAAACGAAAAACATATAATTCTATTATCATGAACCAAAAGTGTAAAAGCACCCATATAACAACCAGCTAACTATAACAACCAGCTAAGCATAATTAAGGAAACATTTTGATCAGAGAATATGTATTCTGAAATACCACAATCAGATTCTAATTATAAAATTGTACTGTTTATTTATTTATCATATTTCATGTAAGATTCATATCTTAGGAAACCTCTCAGAGTGCTACACTCATGCAATTGGACACACACACACACACACACACACACACAATTTG